AGATCAATATTACAGATTTCTTCTAATTCAAATATCTAATCCAAAAAATATAAAATAATAAAAATATTTCTTTATAATTAATAATGAATATTATTTCTAATAAAACTTGCTCAAATTTATTGATCAATCTTCAGATAATATTTTTTATTTAAGTCTCATGAGATTTATAATCCCAAGTAATTAAGAATTGTCCATCATGACTAATTGTTCCATATACACAATCATAACCAAAATTAATTGATTATTCTAACTAATAGTTGAATTCCCCATCTAATCCTTTAAATTAAGGATTGTATAGAATAAATCTTATAATATTTATGAAATAACCATTTTTGATAATTAATATTTGCTTAGAAGTAACATAAATAGGTTGGCAATCCCCTAAATCAGGTTGACCCTTTCCTTATAAAGATATATTTTTGGCAATCTAAAATTTCTAATTCATAGCCATTTTGAATATCAATAAATTTTTAGTTCCTGTATATGATTTAGATGATTGAAAGTAAAAATCTAATTAGTGATAAAACAAATCCGAAGTAAATAATCCATTAAATTAAATCTTCAAAAGGAATTACCAAATTTCTTTTCTGAATCTGCCATTACATAAAAGATTTTTATCTGCTCCAATTGAAATTATTTTTCTTCCATCTGGGCTTATTGATAAACCAATTATAGGCATTTTATGTTCATTTATGATCTATTAACAAAAATACTAATCTTGTAATTACCAAAATTTCACATTTTCATTATCACCTCTAATACTAAGGTTTTCGTTTTGGGGCATGATGACACAACTTATTATAGATTAGGTCCATTCAATTTTATATTTTGATTATCAGCAATATGGCATTAATTAATCATCTGGGGCCCAAATATTTATCAAATGTTCTGAACCAGAGAGAAAGAAATTCGCATGTTTAAGATTTTTAAAATTAAAGAGTTGTGACTTAACAAATATTCCCATCACAAATCAAAAGTTTTCTTAAGGCTTTTCTTTCACTTGCAAAAAGTTCCTCTTCCTCTTATTCAGTTAAATTTCAACATTGTATTCTTTGTTATGCAAAATCTTGAAAATTTAGATTTCTTCTCTGATACCTACTACAAGTACAGAGTTATCATGGTTAATTGCAAGTACATTTGAGAAATCTGATTTTTCAGAATTATACCACTTCTATGTTGATTTGTAATTACCCATTTGTAATTAAAAATAGAAATGAAAATTTAGAATATTTAATTCACATTTATACATTATTACAGCAGAATTCTTGAAATTATCAATATAACTTTATTTAAAAATATCAAAAATTTATATGGAGGGTTGATATATTGGTTTATGGATAGTTTATTATATATATAAGAGGGATCATTTTATAGGATTATTTAAATAATACCATTAGACAAAATATCATAATAATTTCTGAAAGTTAATTGAAATTGGTAAGATGAGCTTTAAAGTTATTTTTTAGAAATATATCATTCGCACACTGTTTGTATAATAAACAATTAAGTTTTAATCATTTTGTATTACTTTAATAGATTTTTATGAAGAATAAAAATGTACAATTTGTAATATTAATTATTGTGATAAATGTGGCATTGATATGGATGGAATAGTTTGTTTGAAATGATAAGAGAATTTTATTATAGTTAATGGATTATGTAACTATTACAAAGAAATTATGCTTATTTATTAATCTTTTTAACCACTTTATTTTGCAATTCATACTAGATTATGTAAAATATGCCCTATTAATTATTGCTTATTCTGTTTTGAATATAATTATTATGGTTATGAGAAAAATAGTGCACTTACTACATATGATTTAGATATTGTTGGTGAGGATTTTTAGTTAATTAAAATTGTTTTTCTGTAATTTTAAGATGGTTATAAGTTTAATTTTAACTCTGGATTATGTGTTAATTAGATACCAAGAATATAATATTGTTTAACATCATATCTAAAATAATTAGAAGAAACATGTTTAATATCTACTTTGAATAATTTTAAAGTATCAAGAACAATTAATAATTTTGATGATTAAATTTTAAATTGTTAAATATATACATTATATTATCAATAAGTTATTATATGTATAAAATGAAAAGTTAGATATACTTTTATAAGAAAGATAATGTTATATGAATGAAGAATTGTAAATTAATTATTTTCAACATATGTGGGATTAATAAATTTAAGCCTTTTTATTAATTTTTTAATTTAAGAAAGATTCAGATTATCTAGGAATATATATTAACAAATTTGGAAGTTCATGTCTGTAATGCAAAAATGATGATTAATAATATATTTGTGAACTATGTACATTAAACTAATTGGGTAATTAGATAAAAATCTAAAATGGACTTTATTGTCCTGAATGTCCTCGACTTTGCTAGATTTGTAGAGCACGTTCTCTTGAAGAGATTAAAGTATATTCAAATATTATATATAATTACACTATTAATCCTTTATTTTAAATGAATGAATAAAATTTTATTTATATATAATAATATATTTTACCTATTAAGTATCCTTTTGTTTTTAATGATCTTTACCAAAAAATAACTTAATATTTTTTTGATGGTATTTGCCATCGCGAATTTGAATTAGAATTTTATGTAAATAATTGCTTTTTCCACAGATTTCCAGCAACTCTTCATTTTACAATATCAATACAGAATATTTTAATCACATTGGAATAAATACACTTAATTTTTACTTATAATTTGATTTCGAAGAGGATTTTTGTTAAATAGTTCCAACATTGAAAAGTAAAGCATCAATAAAAGAAGACATCTTTACACTAAGCAATATAAATATCATAGTAAACTATTTTAATCCATTCTTTCTTGTTTTTATAAATTTAATAATATTTGAAGATTGCTGTTGGGTAACTTTTATTAATTTTGGTTTTATATTTCAAGAAAATTTGTAGCACAATATTGAATTATTGAATATTCATAATGATGTTGATTTATCATTAATTGATTGTACAATAATGAATAGTAGCATCTTTAATGTGATATTTTTATTTTATGCTGAATAATTTGGCTCAATCAATTTATAATACTTTTCAATTATAAATACATTTATTAAAAATTCTTCATTATTTAATTTTTAACTATTATAAATATCAGG